CAGAAAACAAGGTAACTAGTTGATTGTACTCTGGCCCGTGAGAAGCAGACGATGCTTTTGTGGGATCTGTGTGTACATGGGTCACATAGGTGGACCCGTGCGAGGCCCTCTGTCTAGAAGCGAAGGCCATGTAGGAGAGGAAGAGGCAGGGTTGCAGGAAGGCTGGACAGGTAGGACCCAAAGCAGAGAGATGGTGTCCAGGAAACAGGCAGCGTGAGTTGAGCTACTGTCCCAGACAGAAGCTTTCAGCCTCTTCTCGTCTGCCCTCTCCGCTGGGCTAGCTGCGTGCGCCTCTGGCAGAGGCGGGGCTCATGGCTCCCTATCCTCTCCCTCTCGATTAAGGCAGGGCAAACATTTAGGTCTGGTATGTCACATAAAGGTCATCCAAGTTCCAGCTGCAGTTACTTGCAGCAAGACCCTCTGACGTTGTGTTGCGAAGAATTAAAGGCTTCACCTGGAATCAGTGGGCGAGATGCTGGGGTGGATTCACAATGCCCGCCCTGGAAGTGGACTACGGAGGGTGCGAGGCACAGCTTGTGTGTGCTGAGACTGGGCCGGGACTTCTCAAGGCTATTTCAAAAAGAGGGACTGTCAAGGGGCCACCGCAGCAACCGAAGACGGATTTATGTCCGTCAAACGCAAAATGAAATCACCTCTAAGCCAACAGTACTTTTTATGCACCGCCTGTCTTCCTAAGCCTCTTCTCCTAGTCCGCGTCATCAACAACAGGTGTCTGCTGTTCCTGCGACTCCAGCCACCCAAAATAGGCCTGACAGTGATGACGGCATAAGACAGATTTCCAGACTTCCATCACTCCTGGAAAACGTCACGTATTCATAAACCAGGGCACTCCTGGTTCTGTGGTTCAGCTGATATGTTTTTTAAATGCTTCCCTTGCTAGAACTTTTTATTGAGGTATATTATACATACAAGAAAGTCACAGCTTAAAGAATTTCCATAAAACGAGCAAATCGGTGGAACCAACACCCGCTTCAGGAAGCACCGTGTTCCCAGCCCCCTCCCAGGGCTCCCTCACCCAAACTTACCCGCCAAGGGAGATCACCACCTGCTTCTGGCTACTCATCAGTTTTGCCCGATTTGGGACTTTCAATCTTCCCGTTGGTTCTGTTTTGTGTCCAGTGTCATCTATGTCGTTATGCGTAGATGTGGTGCGGTCTCCCATACTGGAAATACACCACCATTTATTCATTCTAGGCGCATGGGCATTTGGGGTAGTTTTTATTCTGTGATGAATAGGCTTTGCGTGGACATCCTTGGGCATGTATTTTTATGAACACACGGACACGTTTTTAGAGGGTATGTACCTAGAACAGAAATTTCTGGGTCGTAATGTGGAGGCTTATGTTCAGGCATAATGGAGTTTCTCTAAGTGGTTGAACCATTTTCCATCCCCACCTGAGTGTCTGAGAATTTGCCTAGACTTTCGTGTTTTTTTTTTGTGTGTGTGTGTGTAATTATTTCAAAGGTCAGAAACTTATTTTAAAAAGGAAATTATGTAACTGTCATAAAAGAAAAATCAGTGTCACTCGCCACAAATAAAAGGTTATAATAACTATCTTAAAAACTAGTAATTATTTAAAAAGTCATCTAAAACCTATTAAAAAGTTCACCTAAAATCACCTCATATGCCATCGGGAGTATGGATGTCGTGCTTCTGGAAAGACTGGTACAGGGGATGTTACTGGTTTTTATTGAGCAGGAGGCACCCCGATTTTATTGGGGTCCCCTCACTCTCCACCAGCAGTAAGCCTCTGGGGAAGCTCAGCCTACCCCCAGCTCCAGGGAAAGCCCCGATTGGTCTGTGAGTCAGCCAACCCCCTTTGCCTGGGATGGGTTCAGGAACGGGTGTGGCCTGATTTTGGCTAATAAAATGTTTAAGACACTGTGTGGGGCGCACTGGCACATCTGCGGGCTGAGCCTCAGGGCCCACCGATTGGGGTTCAGGCCCTGCTTCTCCACCCCTGCTCTGGGTAACCTGGGCCAACTTGCTCCATTTCTCTGAGTCTCGGTTCCTTCACCTGTCAACGTGAAGGTGGCTGATTATGGCAGAGGCGAGAGAGGTCTTGTGTGCCAGACACTCGGTCCAGCTCCTCGCTCTTAGTTCTGGGCAGAGGGCTCCCACACGTCCTTCCCCTACCAGCTTCCAGGGTGGGATCTTGACATGTTGTCATCTTGAGCAGCTTTCTATTTCCGTTTGGGGAGAAACCAGGAAAGACTCTCCTGCAGTCAAGGCAATGGAATGAGAGCTGAGTTCTGGGCCCTGCCCTGGGGAGCGGACTGAAGGCAAGACCATAGTAGCTGAGACCTGTTGAGTGCTGGGCGTCCCGTGCGTGGCTCATTATATTCACGACAACTCTGTGAATTAGATCCCATGAGGATGCCCATTTTACAGAAGAGAAAATCGAGGTCCAGAGAGTTACTCAGAGGATTTGAATCCAGGCCATCTGATGCCCAAGCAATGATCTCCTTTCTTGCTGTGGGAACCCTGATTTTATTTAGGGTCCCATGCCTCTGCATGGGACTCAGGAAAGCGTGACCCATCCTCAGCCCTGGGGAGAAATCCGGATTGGTCTCAGGCAATCGATCGGTCTCATTTCCTCTGCCAGAGGTTGATTAAGCCTTGGGCATGGGACACGGTTGTAGCGAATTGGACATGAGCAAAGGGCTACAGAGGATTTCGGGGAAAGGTTTTTTGTTCTTCACACACTGGGTGTTGTGTCTGGATATATTAGCTGAAGCAATGGCAGCCTTTTTGTGGTCATGAGGGAATTTAGGATGAAAACAGAGCCGAGAATGGGGAACTAGAAAAATGGAAAGAGCGTGGGGGTCTATGACAATGGCAGTTAATTCACCATACTCAAAACCACCCCTCTTCCTGACTTTTTGCTATGCGACATGATAAAAGGTCTTATTGTTTAAGCCGATTTGACCTGGGGTTTCAGTTGCTCGAATGGTAGTGGATATGATTGAATGACTGTCAGCTTTGGCAGAAAGGGATGCTCACCTCTCCTGGTCGCTGCTGCCTGGCACATAACACCTGCTCGATTAAGATCTGTTAAATGAATCGATGGAGCGGAGGGGCTGGGGGATCCATGTCCGGGTTCGAATACGAGGCGTAGCAAAAGTCAGCCCCAACGCTGTGCGGAAGGCTTCGAATCAGCGTCTCATTTAATTTTCAGGCCCGCCCCATGAGGAAGGGGCTCGTGTGATACTCATTTCACAGGGGGGAAACTGAGGCAGGGAAAGGTGAAGAAAGCTAAGGGATGGGATGAGCGGAGGCCTGGCCCACCGCTCGGGACACCCGAGGCCCTTGAGAACAGGACGGCCTTGCGCCCCCAGGGTGTGCTTCCCATAAATAGTTTCAAAGGAATCGCGGGGAGCACAGATCGACTTTTTCCCTCCATGCTGTTGCCAGAGCAAACTGTTCACAGGTAGAGACAGGCTCCCTTCGCCGGGCCCAGACGTGTCCCCACACCCAGCCCCGCGGGGCTCCCCTCCGTGCCAGGATGCCGGGGGCACGGGGCGCCGACTTCCTGCCTTTCGAACCTCTCGGGCTTCCGTTTCGTCCTGACCCATCATTTCTCGCCACAAGGCCCCCCACTTTGTGCTGCCCAAAGGGATGACTGCTCTGAAGCCTGACCTGTCCTGACCACGGTCCTGGGGAGACCCTTCACGGCCTCCCCGAGACTTCTTCACAAGGGAAGTCTGGGGTCCCGCTGCAGCGTGCTGGGGCACGCCTGCTTGCCAGGCCCACCCGCCTGCCCCAGGACCTTCGCACATGCTGTGCGCCCAGCCAGAAATGCCTTTGCCGTCAATCTCCTCACGGCTGGCTCTCTCTTCCCTCAAGCCTATGCCCCATGGTCACCTCCCCGAAAGGGGCCGTCCCCGACTACCCTCTGCCACCCTCTACTTTCCGCTTCTTCCTTCAACACTAGCTGAAGTTACAACGTGCCGTCATGTTTGGATTTGTTTCTTTGACGCCTGTCACTAGACATGGTCCCTATGAGATCAGGGAGTTGGTCTCAGGTCTCCTGGTCATAAGTCCTAGGATTAAGGAGGATGGGGAGCTCTGGAGAGGGGCTTGTTTTAGAAAAAGTGGGCAGATACCATTTTGTTAAAGACACGCGGGAGGTCGGCCATCTGGGGAAAAGCCTTCTAAGCAGAGGGGACAGTCAGTGCGAAGGCCCCGAGGCATCGCGGGTGTGTTTGAGGCGGCCACCACGAGGAGCAGAGTCGGGAGGGGGACAGTGTGGGTACGAGGTCCGGAGAACCAGGTCTGCCTCCCCCCCGCCCCGCGTTCTTGCCCTGCCCCGCTGCAGTCCCTCGGCTTTCCCGGGGATGGCAAGCTCTCACCACGATGACTCATACCAGCCAAATTCTGACGCACGCAGCCCACGGCGGGGCCGTGGGTACGGGGACGTCAACCCCATACCTGCTGTGGCTGTCTGTTCCATCTCCGGAATCAGTGCCTCTTCTGAGCAGCGGACATTACAGTCCAAACAGTGACCCCCCCGGATCTCGCGGGATGGTGTGGGGAGGGCTCCAGAGCCAGGTGGAGCTGGGCTTAATGCGAATCCCCTCCCAGGTGGCGGCTTAGGCTGGCCGTTTACCTCTCTGAGCCTTAGTTTCCGCAGCTGTCAAGTGGGGGTGGTGGTAGTTCTGATCTTATCAGGCATGGGAGCCTCGGTGAGGTAAATAGTTCAGGCTTGTAAAGCACTTACTGTGGGCAGAGCGTTGCCTGCTTTACACTCATTAACTCGCTTTTTGCAGTAATCCTATGGGGGAGGGTCTGTTCTCCTTTTTACAGGTGAGGAAACAGGCTCAGAGGAGTTGAGTAACTTGCCCAAGGTCACACAGCCTGTTGTCCGGCCCCAGGGTGTGTGTGCCTAAGCATCATGCTGCACAGCCTGTCTAGATCGGTCACCCCTGTGAAGTGCTCAGCTGGCCCAGGGCCCATTATAGAAAGAGCTTTTGAGTCCGGCCCCAGGGTGTGTGCACCTAACCATCATGCTGCAGCCTGTCTAGATCGGTCACCCCTGCGACGTGATCAGCTGGCCCAGGGCCCATTATAGAAAGAGCTTTTGAAAAATACTCCTTACGATGTTGAAGTGCTCTTTGGGATTTTCAAGGGTGATTGGCTGTCTTAGCTCACTGAATTCCTGCAACCACCCCGTGAAGTTGGCTGGGCAGGGGGTCCAGCCCATTTTACAGACGGGGAAAACCGATGCCCAGCCTCACACTCCAGCCACACTGGTCTTCTGTCCAGCCTTTGAACACGCCGAGTCACTTCCTGCGGTACGGTCTTTGCATCTGCTGTTCCTTCCACCTGAATGCTGTTCCCTCACCTTCCGGCTGCCTCCTCCTGAACCTTTGGCTGCCATCTTAAATGGCACCCGCTTAGGGAGACCCTCCCTCCCTGGTCATCCAGTCTCCTTCCTGCCCTCCAGCTCTCTCTGTCCCTCAGCTGCTTCCTGGGTGGCGATCACCGCCATTCCTAACCACGCTCTCTTTTTCTTTGCTTCTTTCATTTGTGACTCCCTAAATCTTGCATGGAAGGGAGTGGGCTCCGGGGGTTGAAGGGACTCCATGCAGGGTGCTCCGCGGCCGATGTCTCTGCAGCAGAGCGTCCAGGCACGACACTCAGAGACACACTGCAGGACTGGCCACCCCGCCCTGGGCGGGCAGCCAGTTCCAGAAGCTGTCCCACCCAGCCCCACGGCTGGCCCCTCTCTCCACCCTGTGGACTCGCTCAGGAATCTGGTACTACGCATGGATGCTGGAACCGAAATCCATACAGAACGCTTGCTGCAAGGGAGTCAGGAAAGCACACCAGTCGGCTTCTGCCATGGGGCAGGGGGCAAGCCAGGAGACGGGGGAGGGGACCATGGCATAGCCTGCCAGAGAGCTGGCTCCATGTGAGTGCCATGCGCTGCTGGGCCCCGGGGCCAGCCTAATAAATACGTGTTTGTGGAGTGCCTGAAAGGTGTCAGAGTTGGGAACTGAACCCAGATCTGACTCAAAGCTGTGCATTCTTTCCATTTTAACTTGCTTCTCGCTTGCTGGACAGGCCCTACCCCCGGGTTTTAGAGCCCCGTGCACTTCGCACACGCAGTGCTGGGCTTTCTGTGGTTCCCGACGGGGCCGGGAGGCTGGAGGGCCCTTCTGAGCCAGGGGAACTAGCCGTATCGATGTTTTCAAAGTGAGAATTATTATTGGCTCTGTTGGGCAGAAGCTCGAAGGGACCGAGGAGGGACAGACACACGCTTAACTCCAAGACTGCAGGTGTCGCCGGCCATGGACAGGCCCAAGGGTTCTGATCTCGCCCGGACCAGGGGCCTGAGCTCTGGGCCCGTGTGCAGGGCGGTTCGGGCCAGGTGCCCTGAGAACCAGGTGCCGTAGCCGCTGCAATGTGGCTTCTCCCAGCCTCGTAGTCTGCACAGGCCACCGCCCTGGGAGAGCTGGGCTTCCGCTGGCTCCCCAGGCCCCACGGGGAGGTCAGGCCACCCAGGGGCTAATTCCTGACATTCTCTGGGAGGCTGAGAAACAGCAAATGTGGTGCAAAGATGCCAGAAAGGAAGCCTCCTTGGATCGCAAGAAAAAATCCAGAAGCGCACGCAGGGATGTCCAAAACCAGATGTCCAAGCTTGAAAAAAAAAAAAGAAAAGAAAAAGAAGAAAGAGAAGGAAAGAAAGAAACAACTTTCATTATGTGTCTTTCAGCAGTTCCGGTGGGATGTGGTCAACACAAGTTGCCCCCGCTTCGACCTGGCCCCCACGCAGCCCCGCACCCCGACGCGACCCCCTGGTATCGACGTGTCATGCCCCTTACCTCCCCAAGCTCCCCGCACGCCCTACCTCATGCCGGCTCCGTCCATTCTAACCGTTCCGGCCTCTTTCTTTTCCCTGGATGCACAGGTGCGGGCCCACCCTGGGGCTTCGGCACTGGCCGTGCCCCTGCCCATGCCCAGTTCCGTGCGGTCCCCTCCCTCACCTCCATGTCGTCGGTGCTCAGATGCCACCTTCTCAGCAAGGCCTTCCCTCGCCTCCCCACCCCTTACACGCTGTCTCCCCTTCCTGATTTAATTTTTCTCAGAGCAGTGACCACCTAAGACAGTATGTACTACATTTATTTGGTTTCCCTCTGCCTTCCAGGAGAGCAGAGACGCGGCCTGTCCCGGTCACCGCTGAATCCCCGGCACCTAGCGTGGTGCCTCGCACACAGCAGGCGCTCCCGAATTAATGAAAGCGCTTCCGGAAGCATCCATGCGTAGGAAAGCTCGTTTCTGCGCATTTACTCCCCCTCCCTTTTTTTTTGCACAAAACGTACCACACCACGCAGACGGCTCTGCACCTGCTCCTTCCTGCCGAACAATGTAACTTGGAGCTCTGCCCTCATCGGAACGCACAGCCCGTTCTCGGCCGCTCCACAGCTGCCACTGCTGCCCTGGAGGACAGCCCAGGAGCGGCGCGGACACTCCACTGGCCGCCGTCCGCACTGGGTGTCTCCCCGTCACTATTCACCTCTCTGTTCCCATCTCGCCAGAGCCTGAGAGCGAAGACTTGAGCAGAAGCCCACGGGCGGGCGGGAGAACACCCCAGAGGTGCAGCCGTGGGAGAAAGTGAGTTGTTTATCTTCAGAGATAATCAAGCCTATCCGACAGGGGTCTGATCTTGGTCCCTGCTTCCTTCTTTCTGAAGTGCACACAGTGTCATAAATAAAGGCGCCGACATCAGAGGAAGCCGGGGTGACAGTGCAGTTTCTTGGGGCAGGGGCGAGGGTGGCTGGGGGGCTCTGAGAGACACCCGGAAGGGGTCTCCGGACTCCCAGGCAGGGCGAGACAGAGAGGCAGGGAACTCTGTCCCCTCCCTCATCCCGTGTCCTGAAATTCACCTTCTCTTTGGACGCCAGGGTATGTCTTCGAAGGGCTTTTCGCACACAGGTGTTAACATGACTTCACATTTTGAGTGTCAGCTCCCCACGGGGTGCCCGTTCCCGAGGGCGGGGCTGTTCTCCTGCTCTGCCCAGTTCCACAGAGCCTGGCACGCAGTAGGCACGTCCTGTAAACGACGGAATGAAGCCGAGTGCATGCGTTAAAAGCAGGCTTTTCTTCCTCCTGCCTGCACTTTTGAAAGTGGGCCCCCTTGTCTGCTAAGGACGTTCCTACTTCCCGTCCCCGCCCGTCCCCCTCTGTTTCGGGCGGGGTGACATGGGGTGGAAAACTGGCCTGGGGAGCTTCTGCTTTGCAGGGGTCACAAACAGCACATCCCCCGCTGGCTGCGGCCCACCCAGGCATTCTGTATTTGGCTTGGCCACACTGGTGTTATAAACAGGATGACTGAGAAAAGCCTGGGGACAGGCTGGGGTGGGGGGCGGGGGTGATGCAGGCCCCACCCATCTCTCTTACTCAGCTCGGGCCCTGAAGCCTTCTGAGTCTGCGGCCCCGTCTTAAAGCAAGTCAAAATTATGAAAAATATATGTAAGTCTCCTGTGCGTACAGTTCTGCCATGCACGCAAGACTTTCCCTGGCATGTCCTCGACTTGTGACCGACAGATCACGCCCTGAGGGTGAGGGATTTACTTTGCCTGTGCCCTGTCGACCAGTCGGGGGCTTTCAGGGGACCTGGCATCAAGGAGGCTCAGGGCACGATGCCTGGAGAATGACCTTCTGGATGCCTGATGTCTCGAGGCCCGCCCAGGCGGCCTATTTTGGGGGCGGGGCCTATTTTGGGGGCGGGCCCTCTGGAGTGGCTGGAATTCTGACTCAGTCAGCCTGAATGGGCATCTCCTGGTGTCAGGCCCTAGCTGTGCCTTGGGAGTTAGCTACCTATCTAGAGTTTGAGACCCATGGAGGGAGGAAAAGGCTGGACTCTGAAATATGCCAGAGGAGTGAGTGCTGGAAAACAGGGTGCAGGGTCAGTGTCCCCACTGGCTTCTGGATTCTCCAGGGCCATGCCTGACGCCCGCCAGCCTCTTTCTCACCCATGTTACGCGCATTCATTTATTCATTTGTTCGTTCACTCTCAACACATTTTAACTGAGCGCTTACCATGTGCTGGAGATACAGCAGTGAGTTAGACGAGGTCTCTGCTGTCATGGAGCTTTTATCACCAGAATCGGTGATAAAAGACAATATATAAGTGACACGCCCAAGATCAATTTTAGGTGGTTGAAAAATGGTGAAGAAAACAGATAGGGTGATGGCCAGCCAGTGTCTTCGGGGTTTTAGCCAGAGGGTCAGGGAAGGCCTTTCTAAGGTGGTGACAGAGGGCCAGGGCCTGAAGTCAGAAGATCGCCATCTGAGGCAGCGGGAACAGCAGGTACAAAGGTCCTGAGGCAGCGATGAGTTCAAGCGCTTGCCATGTATTTAGGAGGAAAGAGCTGAATGTCTGGAGGCGGGGACTGTCTCAGGGCAGAGTTGGCTCCAATGAGGCCAGAGCACCCTGGATGCATGTGACATCCCTCAGCCAGTTCCAGTCTGGTCGGGGCCACTTACTACGTACATGCTGCCCAACGTCCTTGGGTGACTTCCCGATCAGTCTTAGTCCCCTCACCTATGAAACGGGTGTGTCGGAAGCTTTTCCCTCACAAAAGAAAGCCAAGCTGTTCGGGAAGCTCTTAGCTGACCGCACCCCTGGGGCTCAGGGCCTCTGCCGCGTGGGCAGTGTTCCTTGGCAACTTTCCAAAGCTGCTGTTCCCATTTCTGGGGCTGCTGCACAGAGCCCAGGAGCAAATAGTGCACAGAGTAAGTAGCATTTGGGGGGGGTGCCAATCTGGGGGTGAGGGTTGGGGCAGGCAGGGGCTCATCCTTCAGAGACAGGGCTCGGAGCACCCATCTGGACTTGCTAGCTGAGTAAGTCTAGCAATTTAGCTTCTTAATCTGCTCAGGTCTGTTTCCCTATCTGTAATGTGGGATCGGTCCCAGCCCCCTAAATGTCTGAAGGTTTCTGGGGGGAGAATTCGTGAGCTCCTGACAATGTGCACTTGTGTGTCGTGTGCACCCTGCAGCCCACGAGGACAAGATTAATAATCGAAGAGACAGGAGCAGGAAAGAAAGAGGGCGAACTGTCTACAGAAAAAAGCCTTTTTCTGTCTTCAGCGTTTCCATCTGTAGTGTGGTCCGTCCGGACGTGACCCCTGGGACTTTACGAAGTTTTTGGGGAGTCAAAATGTATACGTGGATTTCTGACTGCACGGGGTGGAGATGTTGGCACCCCAACCCTGTGTTGTTTAAGGGACAAACTGTACAGAAGATACCCCACACCCTCCTCAGGTTCGGAATCCCGGAGCTGAATCTCATTGAGATGCAAATCCCAGGAGTAATCTCAGGTGACTCTACGTGGGGGGTGGTGAGGAAGCTGCCTGGTGGGGGTGGGCTGAGGAGGGCTCCCCTCTTCCTGCCTTCCCCCAGGCCTCCCACCTCCGGCTGGGCTTGACCTTCCTTCTGCAGGTCTGGCTGTTTGCTTGTGGATTCCCATGATCTGCTTGGGCAGCTGGTGGGGACAGAACGGGGAGGGTGGGGACACTGACCTGTTCCAAGCTGCAAACTGCTCCTAGCTCCACACACACTTCTCTTTATCAGATCTTGTCAGCCCCGGGTGCTCTGCCCTCCCCAAGAACACTAGCAGCCTGAGGGCGTGGGGAGGGACGGATTGCCACAGGGGAGGCAGGTAACCCTTGCCTGCTGGCAGGAGGTGGGAGCACGGCCAGGACCCTGGAAATCACGTGGCCGCCTCCCCGCCGCAGCCATTCCGCACTCCCCGGGGGGTTCTCAGATGTTGGCAGATGGCAGAACTGAATCTGCTGAGATGCGCTCCAAAAAAGGAAAGTTGAACTAAAAAAAAAAAAAATTCAAACTCTCCAACATCTCAGAGGAAGGCATCGGAGGAGGGAGGATCCGGGCCTGGGGGTCCCAGTGCCCTCTGCCGTTTAAAAAGATCTGCCCTGGTTTGGGAGGGCCACCTCAGAGGGGGCAAATGAGGACACGCAGTTGTCAGGGCAGCCAGTGGGGCTCCTGCGGGAGCTGAGTGCCAGCGCGCGCGTGGGCGAGCGTCCACACGGTGCTTGCGGTGCAGCCTGGGCTCCTGGACTGCGCTCCGAGCTGCCCGCGTCTGTGCACTGCGTCCCTGAATGTCCCCAAATGGCGGTTCACTCGACACATTCTGACGTCCCCAGTGTGTTAGGGCAGGGAACAAATAGCCACAAATCCCCTCCCCGCCCCATGAAACGGACACTGTAGTGAGTAGAACCGCCTGTGTGTGAGCTCGTGTGCGTGCCCGGCGGTTATCTGTGGGTTATCTGAGCTAACACTGGAGCCTGGGGCCGCGCTGCGCTCCTGCGGGGCAGCTGCGAGTTCCCCGCGTGCACTTGGGCTGCATCTTCCGTCCGCTGGTGAGAGACCAGCATCCTACTGTGTGCTACAGCCCTCGAGTGAGCGCCACCGCGCGTGTCCCTGCGCATGTGTGTGTCCCTAAAAGGCCCTTTGCATGGCCCTCTCTGCGCGACCCCTCCCCATCCACCGGCCACTCACGAGTTATAATTTAATAGCTG